GCGTGGGGCGGCGCAGCGGGGGCGGGGCGGGGGCCCTGCCCACCAGTCGAGTGAGCGGCGTCAGTGCTCAGCTGGTTCGATACCCGCCGCCCGGGCGAGTCTCCCGGCCGTCGGGTTCAGGCAGCTGCTGCCTTTGTTTTGCAGGGATATTCACATACCGCCGGAGCTGCTCTGCGATCGAGGATGCCCAGTGCAAGTGCAAGTCAGGGTACCGCTGCACCCGGGAAGACTGCCGTGAGTGCGCCCAAAACTGCGGAAGAGGCGAGCAGCTCCTCGGGACAGGTAGTGGGGAAGGGGGGGCTCTCATTTCTCCCCAGCAGCACCCAACTGCCTTTGTTTTGCAGGGATATTCACATACCGCCGGAGCTGCTCTGCGATCGAGGATGCCCAGTGCAAGTGCAAGTCAGGGTACCGCTGCACCCGGGAAGACTGCCGTGAGTGCGCCCAAAACTGCGGAAGAGGCGAGCAGCTCCTCGGGACAGGTAGTGGGGAAGGGGGGGCTCTCATTTCTCCCCAGCAGCACCCAAGGAGATGCCAAGCAGAGGCGTCCTGGGCTCCACGGGTCTGGCACGTAGTCTGTGGAAGTCTCTGATGGTGTCAACCTTTATGGAGACTCCAGGCACCCCTTGCTGGACTCCTCTAAATTTCCTGAATTAAGTGGCATCCAATTTCAAAACTAACACACAGATTATAGTGCTTGCCTCTTTGCAGAAGGGCCTGGCAGTGAGGAGGGAGGATGTGCAGGCTCAGGTTTGCTCCTGCCTGGACTTTACCTGCTTGTCTCCCTAATACCTCATTTATCTCCTTACACTTCACAACACCCTCCAAAAGGCCTGGTGGCATCCTGGTTGTGAACCACTGGTCTAAGCTATTCCCTTACAAATGAGAACCAACAATGCATAGTGCATTCTGCTTCATATTGTGGATGTGAATGCACTGTTCTCCTTGAATTTGTTTAAAGGTTGTGAGACTTGTCCCTGGGGGACCTTCAATAATCAGAGTGATGGGGTCTGCAAGAAATGGACCAAGTGAGTACTGTAAACAATTAATTCATCACTGTTTTGTTTGTTTCTGTACATGTGTCCATGACTTTTTATCTACCTGCATGTATCTATGTATATTCAAGATGCTCTGGGGATGAGGTCCTGAAGCAAGGAACTAGCACAAGTGATGTGATCTGCAGCCATATGTCAGGGAGTCTAGCTCCACCCGCCAGCACCACTTACCCCGCAATACCATTTTCTACCCCTGGGCCAGGTGAGTTATTGACCAATATTTTCCAAGTAGACTGATATATATCCATTACTAAGAAAAGTGGAGCTGCTGCTGTTCCCACAGTGAACCTAGAGGTCCTTCTATTTGCCCTCTGGCCTGAAGCCATATACAGAAGATATGCTGAAGAAAAAAAACAAAATAGATGTAGATGTTCAGGAATGAATAATCTAGCTGCTTTGATGGCAGACTTTTTTGTCTTGTGATGGTTTTTTTTACAGAGTATTTTTGATCCCTAGGGAAGAATCTGGAGATGGACATTGTTCTCACGGTGGGCCTGGTGTTGACCATAGTGTTTCTGTTGCCTTTGGGGGTGTTTCTTATCATCTGGAAGAAAAGAAAACTACCTGACATGTTCAAGAGAAGTAAGACCGATACAATCTGTTAACTTCCTGTTTCTAACTGTGGGCAGAGTACAGGAATTCAGATTCATGTTTCCTTAAAAGTCAGCTGCAGGTTCAAGTTCCTTGAAAGTCAGACACTGGCATTCTTAAAAGAAAACTCAAAGTCTAGATTATCCATTATTTAACAATTGGGCAAGTGGTAGGAGGCTTGAGAAATGTTTCAAAGCTGGTCTCCTCCATTCAGTGGTAACACTGATTTGCAAAGACAGTCAATCAGGTTCCTGCCCATCTGAGAGATAGTGAATGCATTGCACAGGAAGCTGCTGTTTCAAGGAACGTCAGGGATAAACTTCGAACTGCCACTTCTCCCTGTGGAATTGCTGGATAGACCCTTCTCTGCTTCAGTCCCCTGTTACTTGGTTCATTGTTGTCCACTTGATTTGTGAGCTCAGAGAAGTGTGAGTCTCTCCCAGCATGTGATTGGCCTGTATAAAAATAACTGTCTGAAAACAAACAAAATCTGCCATAGCACTTTGCCCTTGATGTAGAGGTAAATGCGCCCTTGTTCTGTTGCCATTGGACATCTGAATACTAAATCTCTACTTGTTATTCCCATTGCAGATTTTTTTTTTTAATCAAAGAGGCTGGTTACTAGTATAAAGGCAAGGTAGATAATGCAACTTTACAGACTAACTAAATAATATCTAGAGCAAGCATAAGCTTTCATGAAGCCAAGTTCACTTCATCTGATGGGTCAGATAGAAAGATATTGGAAAGGGAAGGTGAGAATGTATGTGCTTGAAAAGATATAATCGTATAACATGCTAATTGTCTCCTTCACAGTATATATAACACCTGAGCAATCAACTCAAGAGGAGGATGCCTGCAGCTGCCGTTTTCCAGAGGAAGAGCAAGGGGAATATGATGACTGCAGCAAACTGGCACAATTCAAAGATTCATCAATGAATTAGAAACTGGATTCTATAGGTCAGCAAAATCTGGGTTTCCTTTCAGAACAGCTGAGAGGAACTTCATTATGCATCAGGGTGGGACAGCAGGGTTAATGACCTTCCAGTCTGCAGATTGAACAGGTGGGGTATGGAGAGGGTAAAGTAGTCTTCCCTAAGGCCTCTCTCTCACCCAAACAGAGCCTTTTTTAAATTAGTCCTTGACAACCTTTTCAAATGAAGTGGAATCAAATTGTATGGAGTAACTTCAAAATGAAAGCAACTTGCTAGCTTTGCTGATAGAGTGGGGATACTATTTCTACAGTACTTTGACTTGCTGTAGTAAGAAAACTATACCAGTTATACAAGGGCCAAACTGCTTTTCTAGAGATCTTCTAATAAGAGATGCCCAAGCCATAGTTTTGCTAACATTGGAAAGACTGAGTGTAAGAGGCTAGTAGCACTGAGTGCCAAGTATAGTGCAGGTTGCCAGTGTGCAAACTTCCCATCTTTCTGCTCTCCAGTGTACTTCAGCTGCGAACTACATCACCCCTGATCACTCCTGATCTGGTCCTCAGACTCCAGAAGGCTAGATGTGATCCAGAATCTATATGGATACTGTTGCAACATGCAGAATCGTGTTTTTGCACTTGTGTGCACACACCCTCATTTGCATGCTCTTGCACATGTGCACACATACCCACTCACATGCACGCACACCCTTAGCAGTTAACTTCTGTCCTGATTTGCAGAACACTTTCCTATTTATTCTACTTTTAGTTTGTAGCTAAAAGTGCTATGGAAAGTCATGGTTGCAGAATGTCTCATAACACCCCTTCTATGTTGTCTGAAGAACCCTGTTATGCTAGCTCATTTGGGAGGTGTAGTGGAAATACTGTGACAATCTGTGGTTGGTTTGGTCTGTGAGAAATAGGCAATTGATGCAGCTGGCTTGCATCATTCTTGTGATGTTAAATTCTTAGCTTTTTCTTTTAAAAGTTTTTTTTGGGGGGGGTGGTAAGTCCAGTACATAACTTGAAAATAAACAGCACATTTTTTCTTACAATTAAGTGTATTTAAAATAAAATACTTTTGTATAATACTTTTCTATGTATCTTGCCTCCTTCTGTGTTTTTTTTTTTCCCAAACATGAGGATGACTAACCCCTAAACAAAATCATTCAACATTTTTAAATATAATGAGCAAGGATGGTGGGATTTTTTTATATCTGTTACAAATGAATTGGCCAACTCCAGAGCAGTTCAGCCTGCCTGATAAAGAGCTGAAATAATTGAGCCTGTTAGAAGTTTGTATTCCAGTGAGCAATGAGCACTTCAGAAGCAGCATTTTCCCTGAACATATATAAGCACCATTTGTTTCCCACAGTGAGGAATTGCTTATTCCCCTTTCCCTTCACCTCCACACACTGACTTTTACTTTCAGTTAACCTGCTAATTTGGCACATGGCAGCATTTAAATCTTTCAGACCATTTGTTTCCTCCATGTTATGTTGAGCACTCAAGGCACCACTTGAAATCCTACTGAGAGTTAAAATTTTGGGGCAATTCCTAGATCACTGCAAATTGACTTAATTGGAGCAATGTTAATTTATAGCAGAATTTGCCATCTAGCCCAGTGGATTCTTCATGCTGAGTGTGTATGTTAATTGATCTGGGAGTCCAATGAGCCAAATCTCTGGAATGTGGAAGCCTGACATATAAAAGTACTGTCCTATCAAGATTTGTACATTGTTCAGAGAGTCATATGAGCCTTAATGGACATGCACAGAATGCGTTCATGATCCTTTATGTATGTTGAGCATTTAATTATTTGTGTATGAATAAATATTTAAAGTAAAAATCTGGGTATTGGAATTAGGGAAATCTATTTTGGTACAATGGCTTGAGTTCCTCAAATAGGTCTTTTCAATGCCTACGAAGCTGGGACCCCATTTTGGTGTCAAAGCAGATAGTCTATAGATAGTACAGTAGAACCTGGGTGATTTTATCTGCATGGCTTGCAACCTATTTTAAATCAGGTGTCAATTACCCCACTGTTTGCTGTACAGTGTTAATATCAAGGGGCACGGGTCCCTGCTATTTGGCAATCCAGTGCTTTTTGACATACAAGCTGCAGCAAGCAGTGGTGGCTCTTATTTGCTACAGCAGTAAGTCAGCTGCTGAGAGAGGGCTGGAAGCAAGCTCATGAGACTGTTACCTCCCTCAGAAGCCAGTTGTTGAGAGCCAGGGAAGCATTTGCAAAGTTCATCCTCACTACAGCCACCTTAGTGCCCAGCAATGTATCTTTCCCAATATATAGTTGAAGCCACAGAAACAAAGGAGTGTCAGTAAGGGTTGCACAAACCGGGAAATTGAGGCTTTGAGTACAAATAGTGACATAATAGGTGGGAAAGTGGGCATGAACCCCAGGTACTACTTAAGTGAAGGGGGGAAGCACTACAATGGAGCTGAAGGTTGCCTTCCCCTTCCATCTCCCTGCTCTGTGCCCTGTAGTGGCTCTGGTTCCAGCAATGAAAACTGGTGTTTAAGGGTGCTTGTACATGTGAGAGGGTTTTAGTCTTTAGAGTTGCATACTATGCCCCCTAAATTGAAACGGTGAGTTTTATTTTTTCCATCACTGTATATATGTTATTGTCCTGGCAGCTGCAGGCTCCTGCTGGAGGCAGAAGTGGCAAGGGGTCCAATCCTTTTTTAATTTTTTGCCAGAGCCTGCCCACCTCTCCCGTGGCTGGAGAGCCATTAATCTGTGCCATTAATCTGTCAGCTTGGCCCCCGTGGCCATGGGAGAGGCAGGCAGGCTCTCCAGAAAAAAAGGATCAGGCCCCTCACTGCTTCTGCTTTCAGTGAGCATCTGTGGCCAGGAGGACACCTGGGGCTACCTGGGAACAGGCTGGCTTGCCCCTAGGGCAGCGCAGGAGGGCAGCTGGGTGTGCCAATGGCTAGAGAAGGCAGGGATGGTGCACAGGGTGCTGGAAGCCCAGGCAGGCTCAGGGAAGCTAGCAGCCTGCCCGGATGCCAAGTGCACCATCCCTGCCACCTTTTCTGACCACCAGCACACCCAGCTGCCCTCCTGCCACCTCCCTGCACTGCCCCAGAGGCAAGTCAGCCCATTTTGGGGTGGCCGCAGGAGCCTGCTGAAGGCAGAAGTGGTGAGGGGCCTGATCCATTTTTTTCTGCAGAGCTTGCCTGGTTTTCCCATGTCCAGGAGGCAAGCAGGCTAATTGCTGCAATGTTCCAAACTAAATTACATTGGGATGTAGTTTAGTTTGCAATGATGCAAACTCATTTAAACCCCACAAAACTCATGTAGGTGTAATGTGTGATGCCATTAAGCCACACAAAGGGAATTTTTGATCATGTGTACATCGTGACATCATCACTTGTACAAGTGCCCTATATGGCCACTCCATAAAGGAGTACGTAAAAAAAAGGTGATATTCCTCCCTCTGCAAATGGAGTTGCGAAAGACCCTGGCAGCTGGCAGAACAAGTATTCAAAAGAAAGCATCACAACCTGGTGCTGCTCTAAAGTGAAGAGCTGCACAGCACACCTGGGACTCTGATGTTAGCACTGCTATTTTCTGTGCATTGTCTATCCATGTTTAGATTGTGTAGTTGCCCAGAGCTATACCCCCAACAGCCTCTCTCCCCAGTGCTGCACCAGGCTGGCTTCGTCTTTATTCATTTGAGAGAAACAGAAATTTAGCAGCTGAAGTCAATCAGGTACCTGAATGTGTCCCTAGACATCAGACGACTGATCAAAATAGAAGGGAAAACTTCCCACCTATCCTAAGGTAGGCAAGAAAAAGAACAGCACTATACATCATGACCTCTTTCTGTAGACTGAATATCATGTGGTTCAGAGGAATGATGAGGGAGCTGGTTCTTAAGAGATTGTTTGACGGCAATTCTGTGATGTGGTTGCCTTCATCAGCAGAGGAAGGGAACTGGTGACTTAGAAAAGGACTCTGGTCTCATGTTCCTGGGTAGGTCACACTACAGGGATTTTGAAGTTGGGGGCTGGGGCTGAGCTCAGGGCTGCAAGTGAGTTCAAGTGAACAAAACTTACAGTTGTACTTCAGGTAACGTGTCTTTTCCACCCACAACTACTGCTAGGTTCTAATTCTGGGACTGATTGCATAATGGAAATTGCTGTAGGAGGCTTTAAATCTTTGGTCTCTAACTGTGGCAGGTTTGATCCTCTGGTAGGTGCCTGCCCACCAGCAGTAGGTGATGCAATCTTTCCTTCTGGAGGTGTTCTTGCTCAGGCCAGTTAGTATGTTAGCTAATTGCTGCAGCTAAGGAACCTAAGTGCTTTCAGCTTTATGAGCTCTGTTGCCATCACTGCTGTTTACTACAGCAAAAGCTATGCTTGTCCTTTAAAGGACATGCTAAACAGCCCTTTCACGATCCCGATGGTCATGAGAGTGCTGCAGTTCAGGCCTGGCACCAACTACAAGTCTTCATTTGGGATATAAATTTCTGATATAGGAAGTGTTTAATTAGCAAACTAAATCTGTAACTGTCAGTTCAGGCCCCCTGCCTGCTCCTCTATGAGCCATGTGTAACACCCACACACACTTGGGGCTGTGTGTGGTCAAATGTGTTCTGGTTTTATTTTGCTGTGTACCTTGTTTGCGCCTATTTTGTTTCCTCTAGGACTGGAAGGGACCACCTCCCATCCCTCCTTATTGTGTCCAGACCCTTTGTTTTAAGATTCCTCAGCAGAACCTGTAAAACCAATTGAGTGACTGGCCCAATCCTGGAGTGCTGACCACCTTTGAATTCACTGGTCTGCATTAACTACATTCCAATGAGGCTGCTTGTTGGCTGGGGCCCTGGATGAGGTCAGAAAAGTTATTTAATGTTGAGGCCACCTGGTCTGGGGCTCTTTCTTCTTCCTCCTGGGGCTGCTGGACCCTGAACGGTGATTTGGGAGCCAGGGGGGCTGCTTCTTATGTGGGGGGTCACCCCCCACTCTTTTCTGATGAGGCAGACTGAAGCTATGCGAAGGGAAAGCCTCAGGTACAGGAAGATAAAGTCCGTCTCAGGGCTTGAGACCTCTGTTCTCTCCCATTCCTTTCTCCTTTTGTTTTCTGGGTTTGGGGGCAGCATCAATCCCTGTGGCAAACTGGCTAAGGTTGAAGCCTGGCAGTTTTGCTGGTGCACTCTGGGCCAGGGCTGAGAGCCTGGCATGTTTTAGTTGCTGTTGCAACTTCTTTTGGGTTCAGTATAGCTGTGTCACTGAACCCCAGCTATGTGTCTCTCTGACTGTTTTGGCCATGCAGGCCTTAAGTGGGAGCAGGGTTGGCCCATCCTATCCTGCAGAACCTGCAGCCACAGGGGGTCCCACAACCAAGGTGCTGTGCCCTCCTCGCTGCCCCACCCCTCCCCCCACAACCTGCGCCATGTTTAAAGGGATCAATGCAGGCAGGAAGCCCTTTCTCGGCTGAGTGGGGGAAGAGTTCCCGGTTCCACTCCTGGCCCCAGCCCTGGTCCCAGGGAGGGAACGCAGGCATCCTCAGCACATGCTGCCCCCACCCCAAGCCCCCTGCAGTGCAGCCCTCATGTGCACAGCCTGGCCCCGACTATTTTATTTCAATGAGTTTATACTGCAATGAACCGCAATTTTGATTTTTCAATGGATCAGGGGCCCCCAAAACTATATCCCACGGGGCCCCAAAAAATTGTGGGCTGGCCCTGATTGGGAGGATGCCATGAGTGTA